ATTTCAGGTGCGACTTTATTTATTTGAGAAATAACACCGGAATGTTTTCCTGTTAAAGACCGCGCTCCGTCACTGCATACAACAATGCACTTATTCCAAGAAATATCACTCTCAGACATAAAATTGTTAATTATTTCGAAAATTTCATTTGCATTTGCTCTATTATGAAGAGATTCACAAAATAAATACTCTTATGAAATTCGCTTATCTTCTTCGAAATGTATGTAATTTAAAAATTGAACAAAGTTCGTTATATCAGTACTTTCATCCAATTGCAACGCGAAATGCTCATTATGTTTTTATCTTTTGAAAAAGTGTCTGCTATGGAATTTGCCATTTCACGAATTCGTCGACTTATTGTTTGATAACGGAATATTAATAAGTTCATTAGCTGCTTTTTCGTTCAATAATGTTAACACGATATCTTTAGCAGCTGGTAATAGTATAAGGTTTTCTCCAATAGTGTGAGCCTTCCTAGTCTTGGTAATTCTAGGGCTTACTAGGTAATTAGCTTCCAAAGCTTTTTCACTTGAAGTATAACAAGCTCTTTCATTACTGTGTTACTATTTTTGAATTCCGATAAATTCCTCTTAAAATATTCTTCAGATTTATACTTTAAATCGGCATGCTTAGATTCAAGGTGTCTTTTAAGAAACTACGGTTTCATACTTTGATTGAATAATAGTTCACCGCAAACAACACACTGAGGTTGAGGATCCATTTCATCTCCATTCCAAGTAAACCTAAATGATAAATATATTTCATTATAGTATTTATTATAAACAATTTTTCTTTTCGTTTCAATATTCTTAGTGCTAGTAGATTGTCCTGAATCCATCACGTGTGAATCATTACTTTTCGACTTATTCAATACTATCTATTTGTCCATTTTGAAAATCTAGGTTTCTTTTATTATTTTTTCACAAATATTTAAATGCACAATATATTACAATATATTCAAAAACAAACGACGATATTCCCAAATCAAGTAGAAAAGTAAGGAATACAAAGCAACAAGAAGACAAAATACCTGCTGTTAGAGACAGGAAATCGACGTAAAAAAAAAATATTCTAATTGATAATAGAGAAATATGGGTACGGAAATGGTGGCGACATAAAGTGTTAAACATGCTAATAATCCATCCACTCTAAAAGAATTAATGAGATACTATTATCTCTTGAAACTTATTTTTATTTCCTATTAAATTCAACATCCATTTCTATTACTCCTTTTAAAAACATCATTTAAAATAAATTTTGTTATGTCTATGGCTAAAAGAATATTTGTGAAGATGAAAACGGATTATTTTGCTATTGACCTTGAACAAAGCTCAGGTCGCATAAATTTACAAGTGTTAGAGAAAAAACTTAAATAGGATGTTGGGGTACTTAAGTTTTGAATTTAATAGTTAAAAATACTTTTTTTTCTTTGCGTACCACCTATTTTTTTCTTGCTTACCACCGGTTCAGAATCGCTGATCTAGACTATAAACATTTCAAAAAATTAAAATAAAAGGCCAATTATTATAATGTAGTCAAAATTAAGCTCATTAAAGTGCTTTATAAGTGCAACAATGGAATTTTCGAAATTCTTTTTAAGTAACCAAGCAATAACTTGCTCCGACGTCATCTTAAAAAGTAAGCTTTTAAAAAGAATTCTCGAGTAAGAAACTAGAAAAAACTATTGGGTAAATCAAAAACAATCTGTAGGTAGTCTGCTAAAGTGACTAACTGAATTTTCAAATAAGAAACATGAATAACCACCGGGTAAATAGAAAGATATGTGCTAAAAACCACAAATATAAAAAATTAAGTATATAAAGATAGTAAAAGAATTACCTTTGCGTAAATCAAGAGCAATGTGCTAAAGAAATGTTAATTAAATATTGAAATAAACAAATAGCACAAAACTGTTACAAAACTTTACAAATCAAAAGCAACTAATTGTAATACAAGAGCTAAATATATTTAAGTCAAAATTATGAGGAAATAAATTAATTCAGAATAAATTAGTAGTTAAAATTATTACTTCAAAAGTGTCCGAATGGAGAATAAAAATGGTAGGCCTATTTACCTTAAAAATAATGTCTGAAATTGGGAGAAAAAACTAATTGGAGGAAATAAATTTAAACCAAATTAATCAATTCAATGCATTAATTTGGAAAAGAAAATAAAAAGAAAGTAAAACCTGCGGCAAAATTCGTGTGGTGTTAATCGAATGAGTAACTCTTGAGAATTTATCTCAAAAAAATAGTCAACTTGAGTTTCAGCTGTGAAGCTAAAGTAAATGGAAATAAGAAAATGTGACCTGAAGTCTTTTTTTTTTTTTTTTTTTTTTTTTTAAGTTAGTAAAATTGAAATTAAAATTAGTGTAAAACTGACAATTAATTCTGTAATTAATGTAATTTTTAAAAACACTTAAAAATTAAACTTTTAAATTCCGTCATTTATTCTTTACCGACATTAAAAATGAGTATTTTTATTTTTTAGAGTAATTTTGTAAATTATTTTTTAAACTATTTCGAACAAATATTGCGTAAAATTGTGAATGTGGAAAAGAAATTAAAAATTTAATCTGATAGTTTAATTTATTTTTAATCGCTTTTATAAATTTATTTTTTTAAGTATTAAAAATTAATTTAGGGTAATGAGGGTAATAAGGGCAGTAGAAAAAGTTGTGAAGAGGAAAAGTGAGGAAACGTTTTCATCTATTTGGCATATAATTGGACCGAAATGGAAATGGCCATTTGTTAATAAACAACATAGAGGGGCTTAAGAAAATTAAGATTAGAAGACAAATTAAGAAGTAAATTTACAATAATTATGCACACAGTAAACACCTCCAAACTTGGTTTAAATAAATCCTATCGTAAGTATAATAAATTAAAATTAAAACAACTTAATTTTTTGGGGGAAGTAAATTAATAAAATAGAGGGGAATTTGGTTATTAATAACTGTGATTTTTAGATATTGCATTTCTTGATCAGTGTCTTCAACTGAAGTGCAAACATTTTTTATTCTTTAGTATATGCTTGATAATGGTGTTAGTAATACCATTTTTGGCAGTATAGGATTTCCAATATATGAGTATTATGGTCGGAAAGTTAAAAAGTCTATTTTAACAAAAAGTTTAATTATTTTAAAGTTGGGAATTTTAAGGTCAAGGAAATCAGTTTCGTTGTTGTTTGAATTGGTTTTTATTAAATTAAACATTTAGGATAAAAAGTAGTTCTTTCAAATAAAACAGATTACCTAAATGACTATCTAAAACAGCTAGTATAGAAAAGAAAAATTATATAGATGAATTTAATGAATGCAGCTAGTAATGAATAATTAGTAGACACGACGAACTATGTTGATTGTCTTAAATCGCTCACTTTATTAATCAACAACAGACAGTTTGAAATAAAAATTAAATATCTTACTTTTTGCAGAATGATAATAAACTAGAGCGTGGAAGATGAAAATATTTTCTTTCGGGTAGCGGCAACACATTTGTTTTAAGTAGTACACTGTTTAGATTAAATTGGAAAGATAAATGTACCTTACGTTGTTACCCAGTGGCAACACATTTCCCTGAAATCGCCAGGCTTTCTGATTAAATTTTCAGCATCAATATTTTAACTCTTCAGCGAGTGGCATCAACTAGTTTCATTCTGAAAAATTTCAAAATTACGTTAATTATGTTTTCAAGCAATAAGATTTCCCCCCTCCGGAGATCCCTGTTAAATATTCTTCCAATATCAAGTTGTTACTTTTCAAAAAATATATTAAAAATTATATTACTGTTATCCGAATAATTAATTTTTTTTATATTGAATTTATTACTAATCATGCCATTTTTATTTATATTCTTATTCATAAGAAAAAAAACTGTTAAAAGAAATAAAACTTTCCGATTACAAATTAACTGGAGAAAATTATTTTCTTTTAGGAATTTCGAACTAGGGGTAGAACATACATAATATCAAACATATTTGAATCAAGTTGCACTAAAATGTTTTCTAAGGGATATGAAAAAAAATTGTTTCCTACTATTTATATCCCTGCTTATACGATAGAGGGCAGCACAAGAGAGATGATAGCTTACCTGGAAAAATGAATTGAAAAGAAATGGGATTTACTTCTGAAAACCACCGTGATAAATCTATTTTCTCCAATGTTTGGAGGTACCCTTTGTAGGCATCAGAGATTATGTTCACTGTAAGTTTAATATCGGATTTTTTCTGTTTAGTGCTGAGTTTAGGATTACATTTTCAAATAACTAAACTCCTGTTTCGGTCCATTGTTTGGAAATGTGTACATTAGAACTTTTTACCCCAGTCTCACTATTTTCTTCTAATTTCACATTAAAATAATTAATTTAGTAACTAAAGATTAGTTGGCTGGCAGAATACTCGATGGGGATTGAGAAAATGATTATAATTATTCATTAATTTATAAAAATGAATGGAGAAAGCAGCAACAATAAATTATTCAAAAAAAAATACATCAGTGTACATAATCATCAGATTCATTCCTTAATCTTAATTCATATATTATGAATTTAATATTTGATTGTACTAATTTTAAATCGCTTATTTTGTTCAATAGCTGCATATCTAAATTTAAAATCTTATTGCTTTACTGAAATCGTGAGAATTTAGACAACAAAACTAACAACTGAAAAACTACAATACTGTGAGAATTTCCTTCAAGCACAATCAATACATTTCTTCCTTCGAGCACTAACAGCATTTGCAATATTGCTTGCTTGGGTGATAAATGCATGGTAGAACAGTGAAATGTAAGAAAATACTGTATACGAATATGCATCAGTTTTGCCACACTAAACATTATACAAAAATAACTTCCTTATTTATTTATAATTCACAAAGTTATATAAAAAACATATTCTAAATATTTCTGGCAATATACATGCAACTCAAAGAAAAATAAGCAAGCTGAAATAATGTAAAATATAATGGGACTTCATGTATGACGGAAATCAAATATTCACCTAAATGCTGCCTTATTGACGTTACAATGCTAAACGCGAAAATATACGAAACTGTGATTTTCAAAGATGGCCGCTAATCACGAAACACGGGTTCCTGGAGCCCTATTCCAGGCTAACAAGATATGTGACAAACATAGCATGAAAACATAACGTATAAATAATATAATAACGTATAATACGCAGAATAGTCTTTGTAGCAATGAAACTGTGATCGTGAGACGGGAACACAGACGAAAATGGTTTGTTCCAGAAAATCAATAGGATTGGCTGCTTGCGTACTTTCCTAGGATTGCCGCACCCATGGCGGTAGGAAGTAAGAAGGAGTCTCCCTAAACAAGTTTCTCCGTACCCTGCTCTGAAGCACGGCGATCCCTACGTGGTGACCAAACATTGGGTCATTTACCATTGAGTTCTATGGGATTTTGACGCGTTCGGGTGTAAATATTTTGTAATTACGTCGCAAATATACATATAAATGTAATATTTTCTTTTTCTACAACACTTCAGAGTCCTAAGTATGTGAAAACAACATATTTTTAAACAACATTTTCATTCTGAACGGAATTAAATGCTATACTTTTCACAGGACAGTTTTCTCAGAATGGTTTAATTTGAATGAAATATTTTCACAAGTTTCGTTAATTAATTAGAAAAAAAATTAAGGTAATTCGATTTATTCGGTTAAGGTACAAAAATTAAGATCAAAGTTATTGTATTATTAATATTAAAATTATGCATTATTTCTTTTCTATTTATAGAGCTTCTTCAAAATACTTTCTTAAATATGACATGTTTTTTGGCTTCTTTTAAATCGAAAAATGTAAGTCAATTTATAATTAATGCTCTATTCGGTTCATTTTAAATTAGAGAATTATTAGGAATTAATAGTATTTCGACTTTTCTCTGAACTTTCTGAAAGGAATAAAATAAGTTTTTTTTTTTTTTTTTTTTTTTTTTAAGTTATTATTTAAAACTTGTACCTGAGTTATTATAAAAATGTAAGGGGATAATTCTTTTAATTATACTTATCAGATTTTTTTTTACCCTTCATTTCAACAATACATATTCCAAAACTCTTTATTACGTTCTTAAGTGCGCATCTCATAGCATTTTTGCTTTACAATACCTTTTAACAGATTGCTTTCCATACGAACAATTCTTGCTTAAATAGTTTATAACGTATTTGTCAACAGGATTTCAATTTATGTTTACAATTCATATTAAGGTTATTATATATTTAGATAACATTTATAATCATTATAAATTAGATACATTTAATCATTAGATTTCTTCACAGTACTTTCACAGTTGTTTATAGTGAATAAATTCTTCATTTCAAATACATTTATAAATAATTTAATGAATATTTAAGTATTTGTCAAAGGAGATACATGCTTTTTGCAAGCACATGCATAAATACCCATACATATTTCCTATTTTCATTTCCGGCATGTGCAAATCTTTAATTTCTGTGCATTCACTATATTTTTCGTTAAAGTAATTTACACTAATTTAGCATACACCCGAAGTTTTACATAAAAATATATATGATATAATTTGAATGAAAATTATAAGTATTATTTTTATACCCACTAAAGGTCAGTTTTTCTTCAAAATTCCTCCACGATGGCATCTCTCTCTTTAGGCAGATAGCCCTTGCTTCGTTCTCTATTTAATAAAAACTTAATCTGACCTTGGGCTAATTACAAATATTTTAACATACATAATTTTTCATTTAGCCTCAAGTTCAAACTTTTCAAATCTTCTAGAAAACAAATTTTGGCAGATTCTTTTAGCAATTTTCTTAAAATCTATATTTTTGTAGTGCAACAGCTTAGAATTTTATAAAACAAATTCATAATCAAATCGCGTTGTTAGTTATCGAAAAATAACCAGATGTGATTTTGCGTAAATGTCATAAACTATACAATGCTATTATCATACACTCTGAATGTTTCTTCATCGAGAGGTCCCTTTTCGATTTCTATGGAACTGTCGTGTGTCGAAATACTATCAGAATTTGTCAAGCGAGCTTCTGAAATGTAAACAAAAACACCCCGTCTGGTGACCCAGCTTCAAAGCAGTGCTTCACTTCTAGCGCGGAATGGCCCCTCCTCCTTTCTACCTCCATGGCCCTCCCCCAAAAGTTTTTTTAAATGTTCAATGATGATACATTTTTATTTCACATTTCACTAAATACTTACATATTACATATGACAAGTAATACAATGAATTAAAATTTTAGTTGTGGTATCGCGAGAGCCGAGCGCGCCTGATTATCGCCGCCCCGTACTTGTACGCGCTAAACCCCCGCTAGGAACGACCCTGAAGGTATCTATAATGATTCTTAAACACATATTACCGCACATTACGAACGATATTTTTATGAATTGTAGCAAATATGTAATATGTGATGATGTGTACTCAGATGTGAATCTGAAAGTTAATAATATAGTATTAATATATACTTGACAGTGAAACAAAACTGTCAACCGATTATAGAGAAAGGAAATGCATCTGATGATAGGAATATTAACAGATGATTATGTCACATTATTTTGAAATTATATTAATACGCAATGTTATGTAGTAATGGGGGGAAAAAAGCTATGACACACATTCAGCAAAACTGTCTAAGGAACATAGAAAACCGTTGTTCTAAGATGAATCATCGCTGCCACAAAACAAACTTTTGGAAAAATTGTCGCTGCACAAAATAAAAACCAAACCTCGGAAAAAAATCCTGGAAGCCTTTTTTACGCTCCGAGAGTCGGCTGCTGTTTTTTGGCCACCAGATGTCGCTGCTAGCGAAAAACAAGTCTCCCCAACATCTCATATTCTGTGATGTACGCAAGTTGTGAAAACGAAACATTGGAATAATATTACGTCATTTAACAGGTCTACGTCATTTCCGAGTGTCATGTGACCAGAGTACAGCTTCCCAAGCCATACCCTTTTTCTGTGACGTCACTTCTGCCTACCAGGTACTCCGATTTCTTCAACCATGTAACACAGAGCTTAATTTGCGCCGGAGCCCACCGGTACTTCTCAGTTTCTGAGGTAAATCGTAACTTTAGCCCTCTGTATAATTACTTTGAAATAGTGTTTTTTCTACAAAACCTACACCTTTACCACAGATTTCCAGCTCCAATGTTGATGAGAATGAAACAGCGGACAATGTAGGATACACTACGAAAGCCTGGAATTTTAAGATAAGTACCCTTCTTTCATCTAAACTAAATCAAATTTCTATAAATAAGTGCCTCTAAATCAATTAATTTAAATTTTTCATCAGTTTTTAGCATTAAACAATACTTGAAATTGCTCATTGCTTGTGGCTTCCTTTGTGGTTACAATTCCAAACAGACGCCAATGTTATCAGTTCACGTCCGTCACCACCTACAAAGCCCCCCTTATCTTGTTTTGAGGAATCTCGTGAGAGGGAAAATTGAGGATTTGGGCATCGCGCTACTTCCCTCTCTTTGGTTTCCTTTTTTTCTAGATTGCTTAAATATATTTTCTCCTTTAAATAATACTATATTTAACCAATTTTTTTTCTCATACTGTTCCTTGCTATCTGTTCCCAGTATCACATCTATTTTATTTCCAAATGTAAGGGATGGATTATTCTTCATTTCTTTAAATAAATTCTTAGAACTATGAGCTTATGTAAATAAAAGTGTGCCTCAATGTGTTAAACTAGCATTAATAAACTAGTAATAAATTATGATAGTAAAATAATTAAACTTGTAATATATCATGATAGTTAAATTAATAAATACTATGTTTAATTTAAGTTTTTAATACATATACTGCGTAATTTACACACACACACACACTATATATATAAACCTATATACTTTTTTTTGTGTGTGTGCGGTTGTGGTCTTGTATTGTGTATGGTTCTATGTTTTTTGTCTGCTGCTGTTCTTTGAAAAATGTATGAAAATGTTGGGAACGAAAACAACATATGTTACTTTAGTTAAATTAATATACACTTTTGTCTGGTGTTATGAGTCTTTTGCTGTTGTGTCTCAGGATGCAAGCATACATATTACTTTGTATTCCATGCTAAATACCTTGATACGAAGCATTTTAACACTGTCAGCTTTTTTCCCCCTCCCAGTATCACATCTATTTAGCATTACCAAACACTCACTACACACACACACCTGTGAGACAATATTTATTGTAAATGAAGACAGCTTCTTCTCCTTTTAACTACACTCATGGACACAATCGTATTTTAGGATATTTTCTACTTCTTTTCCTTTTCTTTCTATAGGCCCTTTTTTTTTTTTTTTTGTCTTTTTCCCTATTATTTTTGGGCCATTTATTTTTAATTTTATTTTGTCCCATCTTTTCTTCCTGGCCTTTCGAACTCGTACAAAATGTACGAAGTTCCTTTTTACTCTCCTCTGAAATTTAAAAATTGCCCCCCTTTCTATATACCTTTCCTTCGCACCTAAGCTTGATTTTTCGCCCATCGGAGCAGAAACACTTAGCAGGTGCAAAACAACACATCTGTCTACTTTGTCTGTCTGACTGTCTTTCTTTTTAAGTAAGGCATTAAAAAATGTCTGCTCGGGGGAGGGCGCTGTGATCACGTACGGAGGCAGGATCTTAGAAGAGCTCCTAAATTTTCAAAGGTGTTTTCCAGAAAATTTTCATTTCCTTAAGAAAAATTTTCGCGAATATCCTCTACAATGTCTTGTTCTCAAAACCGAAAGTTCTGTACCTAAAGGTCTTATCTTCCTTGCAATCTTTTACAACAGGAAGACGGAACATTCAGATAAGTAGAACTTCTTTTCTCTTAACTAAATCAAATATCTGTCACTAAAGTCCCTTTAAATTCGTTTATTTATTATGTTCATTATTATTATGCTCACTTTATTATGTTCTGGCATTAAATACTTAGTAATTGCTTTAAATCATGTGATTTTTTTTTTTTTTTACTATTTCGTAGGGACGCTATCCTTATCAGTAGTGTCGTCTGTTAGCACTACCCATCGGGGCCCCTTTGAGGAATTTCTCGAGAGGGAAAAAACACGATCTTGGGCCTCGATGAATGTATAGATTTACGGTTTTTCTCCTTCCGCATATGAGAGACAAACATTAATCTATATTTCCTAGCTATTTAAATTAAAAGCATATATTAATACAGTGTGCCTCAACTTGATAAACTAGTACAGATATAATAAATTATGACGGTTAAATTAATAAATAAATAAAATGCTAATTTTTAAAAAAATATTTAAAATTAAAATAAACTATGTAATTTATTTCTTCTGCTATGTTCTCGCACTGTTTGGATTTATGATTTTGTCT